GGAGGCCAAGGCGGGGGAGTGACAAGGTTAGATCGAGATCATCCTGGGTGACATGTTGAAACCCCGTCTCTACTAAAAATACAAAAATTAGCTGGGTGTGGTGGTTCGGGCCTGCAATCCCAGCTACTCAGGAGGCTGAGGCAGGAGAATAGCTTGAACCAGGGAGTTGGAGGTTGCAGTGAGCTGAGATTGTGCCACTGCACTCCAGCCTGGTGACAGAGTGAGACTTGATCTCAAAAAAGCAATAAAGAAAATAGAACAACGGCCGGGCGCGGTGGCTCAAGCCTGTAATCCCAGCACTTTGGGAGGCCGAGGCGGGTGGATCACGAGGTCAAGAGATCGAGACCATCCTGGTCAACATGGTGAAACCCCGTCTCTACTAATGGTGCAAAAAATTAGCTGGGTATGGTGGCGCATGCCTGTAATCCCAGCTACTCAGGAGGCTGAGGCAGGAGAATTGCCTGAACCTAGGAGGCGGAGGTTGCGGTGAGCCGAGATCGCGCCATTGCACTCCAGCCTGGGTAACAAGGGCGAAACTCCGTCTCAAAAAAAAAAAAAAAAAAAATAGAACAACACCTTGATCTCCACACACACCTTCAGTACTGTTACGAGAGAGGGTTCCCAATCCAGACCCAAGAAAGGGTTCTTGGATCTTGTGCAAGAAATAATTTGGGGCCAGTCTATAAAGGGAAAGCAAGTTTATTAGAGAAGTGAATTAAAAAATGATGGCTTCTCCATAGACAGAGCAGCTTATGGGCTGCTCACCTGAGTATACTTATAATTATTTCCTGATTATTTGCTAAACAAGGGATGGATTATTCAAGAGTTTTCCAGGAAAGGGTCAGGAATTTCCTAGAACTAAGGGTTCCTCCCCTTTTTAAACTATTGGGTAACTTCTGGATGTGGTGATGACATTTGTAAACTGTCCTGATGCTGGTGGGAGTGTTTTTTTAGCATGCTGATGCACTATAATCACCCTATAATGAGCAGTGAGCACTACCGGAGGTCGCCATCTTGGTTTTGCTGAGTTTTAGCTGGCTTCTTTATCTCATCCTGTTCTATCAGCAGGGTCTTTGTGACCTGTATCTTGTGACAATCCTATCTCATCCTGTGACCAAAAAAGGCAGGTGAATCACTTGAGGTCAGGCGTTCAAGACCAGCCTGGCCAACATGGAAAACCCTCATCTCTACTACAAATCCAAAATTTAGCCAGGCGTGGTAGCAGATGCCTGTAATCTCAGCTACTCCTCATATACTCCTTTATAACCCAGCATTCCTCATATTTATTTGACCCAGAAACATTTCTGGAGAAATGATACTTGTTATGGATAGAATTGTGGCTCTAAAAGAGATATGTCAAAGTCCTAAGCCCCAGTTCTTCCGATGTGACCATATTAGGAAACAGATCCCCACAGATGTATTATAATTACTTTGGATGAGGTCACTCTGGACTACAGTGGACCCCTAATCCAATATGGCTGATGTCCTGATACACAGCAGAAGGAGCACAGGCTCCCAGCAAGTCTCTTCCCATCTGGGAGTGATGCATCTAGAAGCCAAGGGACACCAAGGTTTGCTGGCCAACACCAAAAGCCAGAAGAGGCAAGAAGCATTCTACCCTAGAGCCCTCAAAGGGAGCGTGGCACTGCCAACATTTTTTTTTTTCATTCTTTTTTGGAGATGGAGTTGTAGTCTCTTGCCCAGGCTGGAGTGCAGTGGTGCCATCTCGGCTCACTGCAACCTCTGCCTCCTGGGTTCAAGCAGTTCTTCTGCCCCAGCCTCCCAAATAGCTGAGACTACCGGCTCCCGCCACCAGGCCTGGCTAATTTTTGTATTTTTAGTAGAGACGGGGGTTTTACCATGTTGGCCAGGCTGCTGTTGAACTCCTGGCCTCAAGGGTTCCACCTGCCTTGGCCTCCCAAAGTGGTGGTATTACAGGCGTGAGCCACCAAGCCTGGCCACTGCCAACATCTTGATTGTAGACTTCCTGGCTCCAGAACTGGGAGAGAATACATTTCTGTTGTTTTAAGCCACTCTGTTGGTGATACTTAGTTCTGGCCACTCTGGGAAACTAATACAGCATCCATTATCATCTCTCAGACACAGTTTGAGAAACCCTGAAACTAGAATCACTCAAAATCAACCCTTGACAGACCAAAAAGATGAAATAATAGGCCAGGTGCAGTGGCTCACACCTGTAATCCCAGCACTTTGGGAGGCCAAGGTGGGCGGATCACAAGGTCAGGAGATTGAGACCATTCTGGCCAACCTGGTGAAACCCCAACTCTACTAAAAACACACACAAAAAAATTAGCTGGTTGTGGTGGTGCATGCCTGTAGTCCCAGCTACTTGAGAAGTCAAGGTAGGAGAATTGCTTGAACCCAGGAGGCAGAGACTGCAGTGGGCAGAGATCGTGCCACTGCACTACAGCCTGGGTGACAGTGTCAGACTTCGTCTCAAAAAAAAAAAAAAAAGATGAAATAATTAGTCTGTAGAGGAAATTGTTTTTTTCAAATTCCATGTAGCATTTGTTTTATTTCTAGTAAGAGGAAATACATTTGAACAAAGAAGCTCTCATAGCACTGGCAGTTTTATATATGTCTCTGTTATTCTAATATTTTTACTTGCTGGGCTTGGTAACTTTTCAATGGACACAGAAGCTATGACCTAGAGAGACTACAGAGTTGCTGGTAAGCATAGGCCCAAGGCCCTGGGCGTCCCCACTCGCAGACGATGGTATGTAGATGAACAGCTTAGACCCTGGGCAAAGCTTATGCTGGTTGAGAGCTGGGAGCCTGGGACAGTGATCCTGGTTGCTCCCTGCTGCTTCCAGGCTCCTCTGTCTTATATTTAATGCCCAGGAAACTCAGTATTTTCATCAGCAGCAAATCTACAATCTCTCCTTCCTCCGACAGCTGCAAGAGAGAAAGAACCAAGCAATGTACATAGAACCATCCTCTTTGGGGCGTCTTTTTCTAAGAGGAAAATGCGATTTTTAATTTAATTTAATTTGACTTAATTTAATTTTATTTTATGTCTCCCTCTGTTGCCTGGGCTGGAGTGCAGTCTTGCAATCTCAGCTCACCGCAACCTCCACCTCACAGATTCAAGCAATTCTCCTGCCTCAGCCTCCTGAGTAGCTGAGATTACAGGTGTGTGCCACCACGCCTGGCTAATTTTTGAATTTTTAGTAGAGACGGGGTTTCACCGTGTTGGCCAGTCTAGTCTCAAACTCCTGGCATCAAGTGATCCACCTGCCTCAGCCTCCCAAAGTGGTGAGATTACAGGCATGAGCCACTGCGTCACGCCCAGCCGGAAACACAGTTGTATTGTTCAGTCTGCTCCCAGCCTAGGGCACTCCACTGTGCAGAGCTGTTTTAGGATGGGAAGGCCTCCCTCTGGGAATCCCAGGGGTGTGTGCTCCATCCTTGATCCTCAGCGAGCTCCCTCCTCCTCTCTGTTGAGGATGACTGGGTTTTTGCTGCAACATTTCAACTTCCCAAGCCAGGGCAGAGTAAGCCTCAGCTGGGTGGCTGACCTGCAGTTAAGCAGCACATGGGCCCCCTTCTGAGATGAGGGTCTCCCCTTTTCCTCTAGGTCAGAGTGTTGGTGGTGGCTCCTTCATCCTTTTTTTTTTTTTTTTTTTTTTTTTTTTTTTTAAATGAGACAGAGTCTAGCTCTGTCGTCCAGGCAGGAGTGCAGTGGCTCAATCAAGGTTCACTGCAGCCTCTGCCTGACGGATTCCAGAGATTCTCCTGCCTCAGCCTCTGGAGAAGCTGGGATTACAGGCAACCATTACCATGTCACGCCAGCTAATTTTTCTATTTGTGGTATAAACCAGCTTTTATCATGTTGGCCAGGCTGGTCTCAAACTCCTGAGCTCAGGTGATTCACCCTCCTCAGCCTTCCCAAGTGTTGGGATTACAGGGGTGAGTCACCATGCCAGGCGGTGACTTTAGTTCTTTACTATTATTCCTTCTGCTTGCTCTGTTAACCTCCTGGCCTAGCCTGGTATGGGAGGAAGTACTGGGAATGAAAAACTAAATAGGTGTTTCTCTCCAGCTTTCCCATGCTTCTCAACCATACATACATATTTAAGAGTGACTTAAAGCAAACCAAGAACTTCTAGGAAACAGGAATGGCAGACTTCACATAAGGGATGTAGGTGCCAAACAGTCACGTTCAGTAAACTGGTGTGAAAATGCCCTCTAACACCCAACAGAGGCTGTTAAGAATAAGTACAGGCTGAGCACAGGGGTTCATACCTGTAATCCCAGGATTTGGGGAGGCCAAGGTGAGAGTGCTGCTTGATCCTAGGAGTTCGAGTTAATCCTGAGCAACATAGTAAGACCCCATCTCTACAAATAATTTTTTTTTTTTTGAGACAGAGTCTCACTCTGTCATCCAGGCTGGAGTGCAGTGGTGAGATCTTGTCTCACCACAACCTCTGCCTCCTGGAGTCAAGTGATTCTCCTGCCTCAGCCTCCCGAGTAGCTGGGACTACAGGCGTGTGCCACCACGTCTGGCTAATTTTTGTATTTTTTAGTAGAGACAGGGTTTCACTATGTTGGCAAGGCTGGTCTCGAACTCCTGACCTCATGATCGGCCCACCTTGGTGTCCCAAATTGCTGGGATTATAAGCATGAGCCACTGCATCTGGCCCAGTATTTTTTTTTTAATTTTAAAATTATATTAAAAATATGGCCGGGCGCGGTGGCTCAAGCCTGTAATCCCAGCACTTTGGGAGGCCGAGGCGGGTGGATCACGAGGTCAAGAGATCGAGACCATCTTGGTCAACAAGGTGAAACCCCGTCTCTACTAAAAATACAAAAAATTAGCTGGGCATGGTGGCGCGTGCCTGTAATCCCAGCTACTCAGGAGGCTGAGACAGGAGAATTGCCTGAACCTAGGAGGCGGAGGTTGCGGTGAGCCGAGATCGCGCCATTGCACTCCAGCCTGGGTAAAAAGAGCGAAACTCCGTCTCAAAAAAAAAAAAAAAAAAAAAATGAAACACTTCATGAATTTGCCTGTCCTTGTACAGGGGTATGCTCATCTTCTCTGTATCATTCCAACTTTACCATATGTGCTGCTGAAGTGAACACTGCCTCAGTATTTTCTTTTTTTTTTTTTTGAGACGGAGTTTCGCTCTTGTTACCCAGGCTGGAGTGCAATGGCGCGGTCTCGGCTCACCGCAACCTCCGCCTCCTGGGTTCAGGCAATTCTCCTGCCTCAGCCTCCTGAGTAGCTGGGATTACAGGCACGTGCCACCATGCCCAGCTATTTTTTTTGTATTTTTAGTAGAGACGGGGTTTCACCATGTTGACCAAGATGGTCTCGATCTCTTGACCTTGTGATCCACCCGCCTCGGCCTCCCAAAGTGCTGGGATTACAGGCTTGAGCCACCGCGCCCGGCTGCCTCAGTATTTTCAATAATTTTGTGCATGAAGCAAACTTTGTATTAAGTAGTTATGTGTGGAATTTTCCATGTGTGACCTCATGTCAGCATGCAAACGATTTTGGATTTCAGAGCATTCTGAACTCCTGATTTTTGGATTAGGGATGGCCAATTGGTATAAGATACCCAGCTGGACAACTGCTTGGTGTGTGATCACAAAAGTGTTCTGTGTCACGTGAGAGTTTTGTAGAAATAAAAATTTGTGTTTTCCTTTCCAGATACAGATCCGGGACACACGTTACATGAGACCATGTAGCCACAGAGGAAGGGCAGCATTTTTCGCATTCTTTAATCTTGTGGGCAATAATTTCCTGGTTTCCAGGAAAAACTACTCTTAAATAATGATCCTTTAACATGATGGAGTATGTCTCCTTTATGAAACCTTTTGCAATTTAGAAAAACAACAATACCAAAGTGTTGCTCTTAAATTGAAACGGAAAAAAATAAAAAAAGAGTGTTGTAAGGGTTTGTTAGGCATGCAGATTTTTCTTATTTTCTTTTGAGACAGGATCTTGCTCTGTCACCCAGGCTGGAGTGCAGTGGCATGATCCCAGCTCACTGCAGCCTCCACCTCCTGGGTTCAGGTGATCCTCCCACCTCGGCCTCCTGTGTAGCTAGGTGTACAGGTGTGTGCCACCACCCCTGGCTGGGGCATACAGATTCAAAGAATCTTTCCGACGCGGACAGAAAGGATGAGCTGCATCATATGTCACCCTTCACACAGCCACACCTCCAGAAGGGCAGGAAAAAAACAAAAGGAAACCATGCATCCAAGTCAGACAGACCCAAGTCAAAACCCCACCTTTCCCACAGTCTAGCTCTGTCGTCCTTAGGTAAGTGATTTCAACTCTGTGAGCCTTGGTTTCCTTCTCTGCAAGATGTGAATCAGGCGTCCCCAGACTTTTTACACAGGGGGCCAGTTCACTGTCCCTCAGACCGTTGGAGGGCTGCCACATACTGTGCTCCTCTCACTGACCACCAATGAAAGAGGTGCCCCTTTCTAAAGTGCAGGGGGGTTGGGGGGGCAGGGGGGCGGCCGGATAAATAGCCTCAGGGGGCCTCAGCCGGCCGTAGTTTGGGGACGCCTGCTGTGAATAATTACATCTACTTCACAGAGCTGTTTTGAGGACTAAATACAATGTGCGAAGCCTTCAGCACAGCTTCCACTGTGAAGAGAGCGTTCTGTAGATGGGGCTGGTGGCCGTTAGTAACTTGCTGTCTGCGTGCTCATATCCTTCTTCCTGCAGGGGGTGAGAGGTCCATCCACTCTTCCCCTGGTGGCAGGGCGATCGTGAGTACCCAGTTTGTTGCCCTTGGAGCCACGACGACGAGGGTTGAGGTTTTGGAGTGTAGAATGGGTTCTCAACCTTGGCTGTTTGTTAACATTTAAATTACCCAGAGAGAGGGCTGGGCATGGTGCCTCATGCCTGCAATCCCAGCACTTTGAGTGACCGAGATTGGGTAGATCAACTGAGGTCGGGAGTTCCAAGACCAGCCTGACCAACATGGCAAAACCCTGCCTCTACTAAATAAAAAAATTACCTGGGTGTGGTGGTGGGCACCTGTAATCCTAGCTATTTGGGAGGCTCATGTAGGAGAATCACTTGAACTTGTGAGATGGAGGTTGTAGTGAGCTGAGATAGTACCATTGTGCTCCAGCTTGGGCAACAAGAATGAAAACTACATCTCAAAAAAAAAAAATTACTCAAAGAGATTTCAAACATACCAAGGCCTGGCTCATTCCCCCAGAGATTCTGTTGGTATTGATCTCTGATAGTATTGGTATCTGGAGGTACTGGTCTCTGGTGGTGTCGGTCTCTGGTGGTATCAGTGTTTATTGGCATTGTTCTCTGTTGGTGCTGGTGTCTGTTGGTATTGCTCTCTGCTGGTATTGGTCTCTGGTGGGGCAGTAGTTGTTTCTATAAGGCCCCAAGTGATTCTATGGTATGCTCAGGGTGGAGGTCACTGATATAGTGAACAGAGTGCCAAATTAGGAATCAGGAGATCTGGCTCTGGTCTCAGCCCTACCCCTCACTTGCTTGTGATTTTGGAGATTTAATGTCCTTCACCTGTGCCTCAGTTTCCCCTCCTCTGAAATGAGGGCTCTGAACTACAATGATCTCTCCAGTCCCCCTAAAGTCTAATGCTGCTCCAGCTTCTTCATAGTTCAGGGTCAATGACTGATGAGGAATAGACCAAAGCCACTCACCTGATAGCATTTTTGCTCCTCACTGAAGGCCACCAGGATGACAGAGATAAACAGGTTCAGCACCACAAACGTCATAAAAATGATGCAGGACCCAATGAGGAAGGAGCCAAGCACTGGGCTATAGTCCAGTACCTGTCAGAAAGAAAACCAGGGTCAGCCGAGCACCGTGGCTCATGCCTGTGCTCCCCTCACTTTGGGAGGCTGAGGTGGGTGGATCACCTGAGGTCAGGAGTTGGAGACCAGCCTGGCCAACATGATAAAACCCCATCTCTACTAAAAATACAAAAATTAGCAGCTTGTGGTGGCAGGCACCTGTAATCTCAGCTACTCAGGAGGCTAAGGCAGGAGAATCACTTCAACACAGGAGGCAGAGGTTGCAGTGAGCCGAGATCACACCTTTGCACTCCAGCCTGGGTGACAAGAGTGAGACTCCATCAAGAAAGAAAGAAGGTGGTTGGGGGAGAAGGTAGGGAAGGGAGGTAAGGAAGGAAAGGAAGGCAGGCACGCCAGCCAGAGTCATCCAGTATCCTAGGTCCCAGCAGCCACCTCTCCCACTGGGAAACCTCGGAAGGAAAACAGTCCTCAGAGCTGGGCAGAGCTTGAAGCCAGGAAGCTTCCTTCTGCCTGGGGCTGAGGCTAGGCAAGGGAGGGAAGGGGCAGCCCCTTACTTTCCACGGCTGCCACCTCCAAAGACGGCCGTTCTTTTAGCCCAGGGCAGGGGGAGTTTCCTTTGGGAGACCCCTGCACAGCCCTCCCCTGAGTAGCCAGCACCTGATGTTCCTCTGTGAGCCGGGGTCCCCAGGGCAAGCTATGGACTCTAGCAGAGTGTCCACCTGGGGGAAGGGGACATTTCTGTTTGTCCAAACTTGCCCGGTGCTTTCCAGGCCATGGGCCCAAGGGATGGCATGGAGTGGGGCGGACAGGGAGTGCCTTTGCTAATCTTCGTAGAGGCTCAGTGTACGTGGCAGCCTCCGTGCCCTCATCCCATTACCTCCTCGTAGTTGAAGATTCCCAGTTGAAGGCTGATCATCGTCTCTGCCGCATCAAAGAGGGTTTTGTAGGAACGGAGCTTCCAACCAAATATTAAGTTCGACTGTCATGGAAAGAATCCTCATGAACAGGGAAGGAGGCCACCAAGAGCCACAAAGCCTGCTGCTTTACAGTCCAATGGGTGGGCTGTGTCAGCCACTGTTGTGGCTGCATTGGCCAAGCTACTATACCTACGGTGGTGTGCAAGTGGATGTGTGTACACAACTTGTTTTGTTTGTTTGTTTGAGATGGAGTTTTGCTCTTGTTGCCCAGGCTGGAGTGCAATGGCATGATCTCAGCTCACCTCAACCTCTGCCTCCCGGATTCCAGCAGTTCTCCTAACTCAGCCTCCCAAGTAACTGGAATTACAGGCATGCACAACCACGCCCAGCTAATTTTGTATTTTTAGTAGAGATGAGGTTTCTCCGTGTTTATCAGGCTGGTCTCAAACTTCTGATCTCAGGTGATCTGCCCGCCTTGGCCTCCCAAAGTGCTAGGATTACAGGTGTGAGCCACTGCACCCAGCCCCCACCTTGTTTTTTTTTTTTTTTTTTTTTTTTTTTTTTTTTGACACCGAGTCTTGCTCTGTCACCCAGGCTAGAGTGCAATGGCATGATTTCGGCTCACTGCAACCTCTGCCTCACAGGTTCAAGCGATTCTCCTGCCTCAGCCTCACAAGTAGCTGGGACTACCAGTATGCACCACCATGTCCTGCTAATTTTTATATTTTTTAGTAGAGACAGGGTTTCATGATGTTGGTCAGGCTGGCCTTGAACTCCTGACCTAAGGTGATCCACTTGCCTTGGCCTTCCAAATGCTCTGTGTGTGTCTGGGTGTTAGCCCCGTGCCTTCTGACCAGTTGGGAAGCCAGAAGAACTGACACATCCAGGAGGGCTCTAGATGCAGAAAGGAATTCTTCCTGAACCTGGACCCTTTCAGCACTAGGGCTTCCTCACCCTATCCACCTGAGCTCTCCGGCCTTTGCCATTTGAGTTGACTGGTGCATGAGCTCACAGCTAACAGACCCTGTACTCAGAAAAGCCACCATCTTCCTTGGGTTCCCAGGGTCTCCCTAACCCTAACTGTCCACTTCCCACCACCAATTAGCCTTGGCTTTCACAGAATCAGTCCCGAGCTTTTTCCAAAGTGACACTTACCGCGATGGAGTAAGCCAGAAGCATGATAAGGATGACAATAATAAAGCCTGAAATGTCACCCCAGGCACGGCGTAGGGCTGCTGTGATCATGTTCATTTTGGGATTCAACCTAAGCAGATGCCAAAGCTTCACGGTCGACAGGAGTACCAGGAAGGCAGTAATGTAACCGAGGGCAGCATCAGCTGCTGCTGTCTCACTGAAGCTGATGCCTCTGTGGGACCAACATGGGAAAGCCGGGTCTCAGAGACTGAG